GGTCCTTACTGATATGCAAACAATGATTTTGCAAGGTTTGCTAGTTTCTGGAACATGTATTTCACCATGAGCCATAGTGAACGGAGTCACACATAAATATACAGTGGTGCATTATCTTCTCTGTAGTTCCAATCTAAGTATTTTGATGTTGGTAGACTTCATTTTAGTAAAGGACTTTCTAAATTCATGGAAATTTGTTACTTCTGTCATTTATGGAAATAAACTGTGCAAACTCATTAAAAATGTAAAAATTTGGAATTGTTGCATATTTCTACATTTTGCCAAGTAATGAAGAATAAGACTGTCATGCACCTGAAGAAACTTTATGTGTACCTTTGAATTCTACTTACTTCTGGACAATGCTTAAATAATTGAACCCCAAATGACTGGGGTGTTTTGATGTGCCCAGCTTCTGGCCTGAAATATAGTTTTGCCAGAATGTGTTAAAATTGCAACATTATCACATAAACAGGGGGTAGTTGTGATTTTGCTTTCAATTTTTTTCAGAATTTCATTTGGGTAATTGGTTTGAATATATATATAAAATTAATTTTTTGTCATAATAAAACTGTAAGGTGGTCAAAATGCCACACAAAGTACTTCTAAACTTTTGATTCAGGTAATATTTAAAATGTAAGAATAGGTGATACCAGTACTGCTACATTTAACTGTATCCTGCAACCTATGTTAGTTTTCAGAAACCTCTGACATGAGCATAACAAGAGACCCTGTGGATAATTTGGGGGATTGTCTTTAGTATAAAATGTGCTAAGTGCATTTGTAATGACCAAAGACACTGTAATTATAATGGCCACTCTAATTAAAGTGGTTCCAGAAAGCCACATCAACACAAGATAAAATTATTGAAGCTTAGAACACCCAATTGTGTTTAAATAACATACATGTTCAAGGCTCGTAAAGATGTGGGCCCTTTTTTTGCTTTAGGGATTTGAAGAATAAAAAAAGTCAGATTATGAACTTTCTGGGTCCCTTAGGTATAAATTTTTATGAATGCAATAAAGATTGTCATGACGGAGGACTGTAGGTAGGACCCTTAATAAGAATTTATGTGTTATACACTATTGTATAACACATAAGCACATATTTTGTGCACAAATACGTGTGTGTGACAGACTGCACTGGTAATATCTCTTTAAAATGGAATTCTTGTATGGTTGCCAAATTCATTTTCTACGTGCCATAATAACAAGAGTGTATCCTTGTATGAGTTTCACTAGCTGAAGCTTCTGATGATCAAGCTGATATGAATCAAGTAAACACCCTGAGATTTGGAGTTTTGAGGTGAGGAATAGATGGCATTGCTGGACTACTTAAGTGAAAAAAAAATAGATGTATTAATAAAGTAACAAAAAGATGGATGTTTAGCACAAAATGTAGCAAAAAGGTGGAAAGCATTGCAATAGAAATATCATTTTAGTAGTCAATACTCCTTCCTACACCCCCTCCCTGGCTTTATCAAGTTGTCTTTTCTTGCTCTCAGGAAACTGTAACGAACACCAGTAGGAATTGTGTTTTACTCCATTTTCCTTCCAAATTAAGTCCCACTTTTTGAACCTTCTTCATGCTTTCTCAAGCAGTATTATCAGAGAACTTCCTTACACTCCTATAAAAACGTTCCTGAAGACCAACCGGTTCTGTGAACTGTTTTAGCCATAAAGAACACACCCCAGATGTGTTTGTTCTGATTTATCTTGGTCTGTACTGCTCTACTTTTGTACTTTGTACTTTAAACTGGGGCAGGGAATATTTGTTATATCAATATATAAATGAAATCACTAAGACAACTACTGGCATGTAGATGCTTTTTCCCCTTTAAAAATAAAAAAAATATATGCATGATGTGTATCACACATATGTGTGGCTAGAGCATCTGTTTCTGTTCTTAGAAATAAAACAAAGAATACTTAAATTATCCTACAAGAGGGAAATCGAGACATTTTAAAAGAATGTATTTCATATATATTTTGCTCCTTTCTGCAAGAAACACAAAAGTATTTCATAGAACCAACCCATAGAAGATATTACATGCATCAGCTTTTTTTTTTTTTTTTTTTGGTTATAATTAAAAAACTAAAAAGTACAAAGCATTACATCTTGTTTTACAGAAATTACAGTAACTAGATAGAAATGCTTATGGAGGTAAGTTGATTCGGTTAGGGAGAGAATAATCAAATCAATAGGTGAGTGGAGATATTTGGATCTTAGAGTAGCTTTGATTTAACCCATATAACTGTAATTCTACTCTGTTCGATTATTTTAGATGTTCTTCCAGTCACCACCACGTATTTATGAAATTTTCCAACATTCAACTCTGTATTACATCATTAGGACATTTATGGTGAACTTGCATATATCATAATGTATAAACTTCATAATATTCCCTTAGGGAAAAAAAAAATAGGGGACTAATTTGATAGTTAAGCATGCAGGTTTCTAAAACTTGGATTGCAGAATTTCTGCTACTTGAGACCACTTATGGTCTGCTTCTGCTCAATTACTTTTAAAAAGAAAAAAGAAAAATAGAATTATAGAATTGTTTAGATTGGAAAAGAACCTTAAAAATCATCAAATACAACTCAGCCCAGAACTGCCAAATCCACCACTAGACCATGACCCCAAGCACCACATCTATAGGCCTTTTAAATACCCCCAGGGATGGTGAGTCAGCCACTTTCCTGTGCAGCCTGTTCCAGTGCTTGAAAACCATTTTGGCGAAGAAATCTCTCCTCATATCCAATCTAAACCTCCCCCAGCCCTTCTGACCATTTTCTCTTGTCCTATCACTTCTAACTTGGAAGAGGAAACTGTCCCCTACCTCCTTACAACCTGCATTCAGATGACTGTAGGGTGATAAGGCTCCTGTGAGCCTCCTTTTCTCCAGGTTAAACAACTTCATCTTCCTCAGCTGCTCCTCATAAGACCCTTCACTGCTTTGTTGCCCCTCTCTGGGCATGCTCCAGCACCTCAATGTCTTTCTTATAGTGAGGGGCCCAAACTGAACATGGGATTTGAGGTGCAGTCTCACCAGTGCTGACTACAGAGAGGCAATCCCTGTCCTGGTCCCACTGGCCACATTATTGCTGATCCAGGCCAGGGTGCCATTGGCCTTCCTGACCACAGCTGGCTCACATTCCGCTGCTGTTGACCAGCACCCCCAGGCCCTTTCCCAACGGGCACCTTCTCAGCAACTCTGCCCCAAGCCTGAGGTGATGCATGGGGTTGTTGTGACCAAAGTGCAGGACTCAGCACTTCACCTTATTGCAGCTCAGACAATTTGCCTTGGCCCATCAATCCAGCCTGTTCTCATCTACAGAGCCTTTACAGAGCCTTCTGATCCCTCAGCAGATCAACCCCCCACCTAGCTTGGTGTCTTCTGCAATGTAGTAGGAGGAGGTTGTTAACATCTTTTGTTTGATGCACTTGGCATCAGAAAATTATTAAGATATCACTCTGAGTGAGGATATTTACCTTGACAGCAAGCATCACAATCAAACATATTTCTCACATGGCCTTCAGTATTTCCAGTGATGACTAATTATCTGTGCTTGCAAATTTGACAGGTGAATGGCTGCCTACATTAACTTATATCTTGTGTTCAAACCAGGCACAAAAGTAAAAAGAAATAAGTCATCTAGAACACAGTCTTCTTTAACACTCAAGGGATCTTTACTAAGAGATACAGATGCTCCCTATCACTGAGGATGACAAACTACTGTTACTTCACAATATTAAGTTTCCTAATGTTTAATTTTTGGGAACATTTTAGAAATTAAATGAAGAGAAAGAAATATATGTACTTAAATCTTGATGAATATGTAAGGAATAGATACAAAAAAAACCAAGAGAAAGGTGTTATGAAACGTAATTTTTTTTTCATGTACCAATTTTCTCATTAATTTTTCTGTAACTTCTCGCATATACAGCTTATGTTATTTGTCCTGGAGTTACTTTGTTAATTTGTTTTTTTGGAGGCATTAGGATTCAAAGATGGGTAGCTTTGTCCTTAAAATTATTGACAAAAACACACCTAATTTTCATATTCTGAGCTTTCTTTTCAAGAAAGCTCAGAACATGAAATGAGAAAAACAAAATTTCAAATGAGAAAACTCCACATTTTACTCTTCAAAGCTTCCTTTTGCTACTTTCTTTGCAGTAAGTATGATCATGGGGTGACTTGTTAAATCACCATTGAATTAGGATTTCACAGATGGTAGACTACAAGCTGAATTTCATTAGCCTAGAAATTCTATTAATGCTAGAAAGGTCATTCCTTGGAGCTTAGATGTCCTAGAGGTGTACTTGAAATTAAAAACTTTTCAGCTGAGAAAAAACCCACAGATATTGTGTTTTCATCTGATGAGATACCAGATAATATCAAAGAAGTGGTAACAGTTTGTTTGAAAATTAATTTTCCAGGCTTGTTGAATGTACTGGATTTTAGGGAGTATGTGCCCTTAAGTAGTGTGCTCCTACAAGTGATGATGATGAAATGGACTGTGTTAAAACTCAGATTTTATGCTGGTATGGTTGGTGAGGAAAGTGTGGAGGTTTTGACTGAACAAATTTATTTGTAGTATCAACAAATGGCAACTCCAACTCTAATGCAGGCTAGCTGAGCCTCACAAGTAACTAAAATGTTCTAAAACATTCATATAAACAGACTGGCCTACTGTAGATGCAGCTCTACTGCCTCAGGCAGTCAATTCTTACACCTATTTGGAAATTAATTGGATTTTCTAGAAAGGGAATGTTGTCTGGTGATAAATAATCCAAGCACCTCTGCACAGTGCTGTATATCTTGGATAGACAATTTTAGGGACCCACCACACAGTTATGTGGTGATTGTTTCAATAGCTGCACTTACCAATCCAGTTGTTAATGTTCTATCATCTGGCAAAATCTGTACAAGCCACAGGCTGTTAACTGTATTCCAACATTAAATACTGAAATATAGACAGGAAAAAAGAGATAATGCTTACCAAGTTAACTTGTATAGTGCTTTCCCAGTCCTTCTCATTGTTCACTCCAGCATTATTAACCACAATGTCCAGCCTTCCAAAATGTTCAATTACTTTTTTGAAAGCACCTATAGTAAGATCCAAGAGTGACAATTCTTAGAACTTTGGAAAGTAATATATAAAAATACAATGCATGCAAAAAATGAATGGTTTATTAGTCTACCAAAATATCTTCCTTATTTTCTTAAACATTAGTGTGCAACATGCAGTTAAATACTTTATCTAACATGCACCAACATTAGATAAATTTAGGGAAAGTGGAAGGATTAAGATAACATCGTTGCCTTTTCACTCAGTTTGATAGTCTGATAACAGGAGCTGTAAGTTCTTAGCACTTATACATTTGTATTAGATAGGATGTTGGCACCCCAATTATATACATTAAGCATTTATAGTTTGATTTGTAGCAGTTTGGTATAGCTAGTAAAGTCAAGATTTGACACCATCTATTTTGAATGACAAACAAAAGCTTCAAGTGTTCAGAAAAATTTTCTTAATTCAGTCCAAATTAAGCCTAAGAACACAGTTTTTATTTAATAATAACTGACATAAATATTTCAACTACAAATAATTAATCTTGTTTAGATGTATCTATTTATGGATAAGTTGTTATATATCCTACTTGTCAGGTAACTTTAATAATGTGTTTCTCAAATTAAAGTCTTCCTTTTTTTCTGAGGATAAAAATAGTGACTTGTCTTCCAAAGAATTTCAAAATGAGAACTGGGAAACTTCCACAATGACATTGTGTTTTCCCAGGTGACAGTGTTAGAACTGAGATAAAAGATGTGTATAGAAAAACATGATGATGTCATAATGAGGAGCAAACTTCTCAAGCCTGGCTCTGCTTTGACAAGATGGATGAGATGACTTCCAGATGTTCATTCCAGACTAAGATGTTCCAGTACTGAGGACATTTTCTGACATGTATGCATATAACTTGCTTGTTTTCCCCTCCAAATATTGTTCCTCATTACTAAATATTTACTATTATGTAAACCAAGACACCACCTCCCCAGTACTATTTTAAAAAATATTGTTTGGTATTTGATTCAAAATCAACAGTATTTCAGGTATACAAAAATTGTGCTTGGTAGGCCTTGATGAAATTACTTCACTGAAAGGTGGTCCCAGGAGCATCTTCCTTCTCTGATCCTTAGTGCTTGGACCTTCACATCAATCAGGTGCATAGCATCAGCTTGAAGATCTACCTTTTTCTGCAGCAGTTGCAGGGATTTACAAAGCTTTTCCTGCGCCAGCCTTTTCTTTGCCTCAATGCTTCAGGTCCATCATAATCATCATCTTGTGATCAAAACAAGAGCTGGGCAGCTGATGGAACAGGTTTTATTTGTCCAGCTGCCTTTATTGTACAGACCTTTCTAATATTCTATACTACAATATTGTAATATTAATAAATCTTCTGGTTTGGCCTGTCTCCCTTTTTTTCTTTTGTTTGTTGCCAATTCAATCTCTGATTTCTCAACTCTTCAGTCACTTATCTTTCCAATTCTGCGTCATCAAGGGCTGAAATGAAAACCTTTGGCTTTATTAAAAGCAGAAGTGAGTATTTAACTTATTTTGAATGAGTAAAATAAATACAATTTGGTTCCTTATTTATCTTTCAAATTTTGGAAACTGGCTAATTCCCTTTTAAACCCTCTCTAAATAACATCTTTCCTAAGAAAGATGTTTCTGTTAAGAATTAGAATCTTCAAAAACCACCATGGAAAATTGTTATTTTGCCAATGATTTTTTAATTAAACTTACACAGACTTGACTAATTGTAGTTTTCTATTTTACATTTTGAGAAAAGACCAAATGTTTTTGCATATCTGTGTTTGGAATATTTCTGGTAAAATTTTAACTGCTTACAGTAATCCCATCTATCACCTATCCACAAAAGGAAGAATTTTCTTGTAAATTCTTAGTGAAGTCGTCACCTACACATCAGTATAAGCTGATTTATTCTCCCCTCTTCAAACGTAGAATAATTCTGTGTTTGCATTGCACATTAATTAGTGCTTATGGAATTATAAAAAATTAAAAGCAGATGTTTGTTTGAAATATTGAGTGGGGAAGGGAAAATTAAGAGAAGGATTCACTTTAAAGGAAAGGTAAGAAAAACAATGCAAAGTCAGTACAAACACCAGTTATATATGAGCTTCTTAAATGTCTCTGGAAGGCAGTAGTAAGTATGGTGATGTTTCAAAAGTGGGATGAGATAGGAGATTTTTTGGGGGGATTAGGTGCAAGAGCCACCAGAGAAAAAAGTTCAGGCGAGACTTGAAAGTAGATTAAGCAGATGACTTCTTGCCCATAAGCCTCATGTACTTAGAAATATTAGTTCTAGTACTGGGACTTCCTACTGTAAGGGCTAGAGTTAAAAAAAAAAAGGAACTTCATTCACACACATGACCTTTAACAAAGTACAGGACTTGATTCCTCTGATGAAACCTTTAAACCCTAAATGTGAAATTAATCTAAATTTGTAAAGTAGTAGCTTACAATTGCAAGTGGAAAAAGATGAAAATAAAACAACACCAAAACCAGGTCAGAATTCCCAAAGGATTGTGAGACACGATTGCAAATTTACAGTAAGAAACCTGCAGCAGGATTAATGCAATGATCAGAGAGGCATTAGCAGCAGCAGCCTCCTGTTCTTGCTTTTTTCTTTGCAAGACCCACTTCCAATTTTATTCTGATTACTTTTTTCCTACTAACTTGGTTCCAAAAACTCCCTTGCTGACCTGTCCTACTCACTCCAGCTCCCGGTTCACACCCTGTTGGTCCTGCACTCGCCTGGCACCAAAGAAAGGAGGAGGTGTGGGAGACAAGGCACACTGAGTAACACCCACACAGCAGCACATGCTATTCCTACCCCTAGGATGCTTTTTCTTGCTCCTTACTCCTCCCACTTGGAGAAAATTCAATCAACCTAGCTGATAAAAACTTTGCTGATTACAGCAGATCCCAGATTTAAAGTACAGCATCTTTCTTACAAATAGGCAATGTAAAGCTATACAATTAGGAATAATCATGCTATCTTAGAACAGTGGACAGTATGGCTGAATTCTGGAATAGCAGCAATGTTTTCTGAAATGGCTATGCTCAATGGTCACTGTTCAGAAAGTGACCAGTGAAGTGTAATGAACGAAAACAGACCAAAAGTGTTCACATCGAGATGGCAGAAATGAATCTGGGGAAAGGGCACTGTCAAAAGAGATGTCAAAATCTGAATCTGAGTCACTACCTATGAATGTACCATTTAATAATGAAACTTTGATGAAGTGATGTGCCTGTTATGAAATATTGTGAAGGTACATCAATGTTATATGATACTCAATAGGGAACACTGTTTATCCACTAAGTGAAAACAGAAATGCAAATCATTCATGAGGGAAGCTGCTTCCATTCCATGTATCTGCAAAACGTGTGTGAAATGTTATCACCCTATAGTTAACCCCATGATGAAGCAGCATGCCAGTTTTTGCCAGTTCTTCTTTCAGCTGTGGCAGCACACAATGAAAGTAAATGCACTGCATGTAAAGAGCACTGCAACCCAGCACAGAATTTATTACTCCTGTGACGAGGGAATGCAGCTTGGAATCTGTACCGAAACCTCATAAAAAGCAAGTCTGAGCTTTAAAGTTTATATATATTACTCATAAAATAGCAATTATCTTCTGCAGAGGCTTTCATGCAAAAATATCACCCACAATACTCAATGGAATTAACTTCTTTGGCTTTCTGTTGTGCCAAGGAACAAAGTGAAATTATGGTAGCAATGCTGGTAGCAATATTTCCCATCTGCAGGTTCAGGAACAAATCGTTTTTGGGTCAGTGCCAGCAGCGATCGGGAGCAGGCTGTCCCGCAGAGCTCCCTCTCCGCGGAGCGCTTACGGGGGCTGCAGCCCGGGCGCAGCGCTCAGCGCTCACCTCCTACCTTTCAGCTGCTCCTGGTCCGTCACGTCGCACTGGATGAACAGCGTCCTCTGCGCTTCAAACTGCTCGTCCAGGGCCGCCTTGCTCTCCTGTCCGGCCTCGGAGTTGCGGTCCAGCAGGGCTACCTAAGCGGGGCGGGAGGAAAATGAGCGGCCGGCGGGAGGGCGGATGGACGGACGGACAGGTCGCCCGCCGAGCCGAGCTCCGGGGGCTGCCACCACCCCCCGCCTGTGGGTGCCGGCTGCAGGCAGAGGCGAGGGAAAGGGAGGAGGCGCTTCCCGGGGCTTACCTTGGCGCCCTTGCCCAGCAGCGCCTGGACGAACGCGCGGCCGATGCCCTGCGCCCCGCCGGTGACCAGAGCCACCTTCCCATTGACGTGCATGGCCGCCGCGCTCCTGCCGCCGCTCCGCGCCCGCCGAGTCCCAGCAACCCAGCGCGGTGTCACCTGCCCGCTTTCCTTTCTCCCTCCTTCGTGCCCTCCCTCCTGCCCTCCCTCCTGCCCTCCTCCTCGGGCCGCCGCCGCTGCAGCCCCACTCCCCACTCGTGCGACCGAGAGCCTCCCGGAGCTGCCTGGGCGGGGGGAAGCAGGGGCGGAGCGGGTCATTAAATCGTCCTCCCGAGTGTCTGCATGAACTCTGGAGAGCAAGAGCCAGAAAGGAGACCAGCTTCATCCCCTCTGCCCAACCCCAGGCTTTCCGGGGAGGACAGGCTCGCAGTGTCCCGCGGAGAAAGGGTCCCAGGGCAGCTACAGCTCCGCTCGGTGGAGAGGGGGATTTGTGTGTGCGTGTGTGTAAATCGCGTGAGAAGCTGCTCCAAGCTCTTGGGGCTGTGTAAGTTTTGGTTGGCCCAAGTCGCATGAGGAATAGGGTGAGGACAGAAGAAAAAAAACAAAACAAAAACAAAGAAATGGGCCACTCTTTCTCACTTCAGAGCAACCCACCAGCTTTCTCACTCTCATTCCCCTAATAGGCAGAATCTACTTGCCTGGAAAAGCAACCATTCAATGTTGCAGATATTAGACATATTAAGATAAGTGTTTTTGTGAAATTTTAGGGTCTGTGGTTAATATATCTTAGAACAGGTTTAACTGTTTTTATAGCTTAAAAGCCAAATTCTATCTGCTATATTGACGTGAACTGTATGCAATTAAAATTCCTCAATACAAATGCATATGAGCGTACAGTAGGAATAAGAGCACGCTTAATCATGTGAAAGCTGAAATAAATGCTCTTGTTCATCAGCTTGTTACAAGATTCACAAATGTTATCCCATAGCAAATGCAACGTTGTGGAGTGTTGGGTAGGCAGGAAAAATCCTTTGTTTCAGTCCTGAGCTATATAAACATGTACATCATGCAAGTGTGCATGTATATTAACACACACACTTGTCTTTTGCCTGGTGTATCAGGTTTAAATGTTTTACTTTGCTTTCAAGGCCCTAAAGTACTCTGACTCAGACTGCATCTCTATCATTAATGTCCTGTAATTTCTCCTTGTTTCTCAGTAACAATGTTCCTATTTTGCCCTCTCTTTATCCCTCTTCTGATTTCTACTAGTCTGCCTTTATCTATGGAATTCCCTTCTTTTGTATTACCTAGAAGAAAGAAATTACATCACCCAGCAAACTGTTACAGAACCATTAAGGTAACTATGTTACCTAATTGAATAAATCGAATAACACAAGATCTCATTATTATAACCTTTGTCCTTAAAAATGTGAACTAATATAATCCAGCTGCTGGAATGGATCACAGCCATTAAGTTTTCCTAAAGATCATGATTCCCCATACTTCAGAAGAGCAGTCAAAGGTGGCCTCTGGGATAAGTTATTTGTTCACATATGATACCTGTGTTTCTGGGGAGGACTCCAATTTGCTTTGGAGCTGTGAAAATTATGCCACCCAAAGTGCCATGCCTAATGAGTTCTGTCCCAACCAGCTGAGCCAGCTCCCCTAATTTGTTGGGACACAAGCACAGTGACAGGTTTAAGTCACATCATGAGAGCAGTATTACCACATAGGGATCTAACAATAGCATTGCAATGGAGTCTTTCACCTGCAATTTAACCCTGATACCCACCTGCCCCTCCTTCTCCTTCCTGCCCTCTCCTATGGCAATGATCAACATCTGTCTTGGTCTTTATTTCCACAATGTAATTTTTTTTTAAGAGCCATGCAAAGGAAAAGATCAATAAACCCCTCTGTATTCCAAACAGCTGTAGTTGGAATGACCTTTGGCAACACTTTTCTAAATTGTTGATAATTTGGCATGAATGCTAAGAACAATCTGGACTCTTTAGAAATGCTGGAATGCTTTAAGATCTGAGTGCACACACTGTTTCCATAAAAAAAAAAAGGTTATAATTCTCTGTCCAGAGATCTGCTTGGTTGAATCCTGTGTATCATAGGTTGAAATTGTTTAGAAGTATTCTGATAAACTAAGCCAGAGTTTCTAACCTGGTTTTGTTGGCTGAACAGACTCTTGCCATTATTCCATTCAAGAATCTAAATGATACATCTTCCAAGATGGCAAAAAAAGGATCCACACTGATACCCATAACCTTGGAGAAATATGTTTGATATAAGAGACAATGTTCTAACTAGAACAGGATGTGCCAATCCTCTGCAGGATGGAAGTAATAGAAGGATAGCTCTGTGATTTACCTCTGGAGCCAGCAGAGATCCCTTACTTGGCTGTAAGGGATATGTGTACTTTGCTCTTTCAAACTGCACTGGATTTGTTGCCAACTCACTACTAAGAAATTTGCTGCCACATAGTCCTTTACCATCACAAGTTTTTAATTTGACCAACTGCATAAAAGATAAAACACTGCCCATAGGAAGAAGCTTCTTGTAGACATCTGTTAGAAATCCTGAGTTAGCATCTCAGTCCTCTTGGTGAAACTTGGGGGGTAGGAAGTAGTAATGAAATATTTTTCTCTTCTATTCATAAATTGAACCGTTTTTGAACCGTTCCTTCAATTTTAAAGAGAAGTTTCATAGAAGCATGAGGACTTCCATTGTCAATTTTTTAATGGCCCACCTTTTCAAATAACCCAACCTTAAGAAAAAAAAGTACTCAACCTCACACAAAAAGTTGAAAGAGCTGTCACATCAGGCAGTAGCATACCATCAATGATCTGTTTTCATAAGTGGCCAATTTATAGAAGACTGAGTATATGCCGTGGGTACCTTATTCTGTGTATACTGGTACGCTTATTTAAGCTGATATGCTGATTTAAGAAAACGTGAGACAGTTAATAATGGTGCATGAGTCAAGAGTCAAACCAAATTTTATCATATTTGTGATTTTTTTCACCAAAGTGAAATTTCCACTAATGGTTACCCTAAGGAGTTTTTGTGTAATACATTAACTAGACTCAAAAGTATCACAAAAAACTATTATCTAAAATCACAGGCATGAAAAGATACTAAATGAGTACACAAATATTTGATTTTAGTGCTTTGAGAGAAAGGTAATTCCATGCATTTTCTGTTCAAAGTTAAAAAATAATAATGCTATTAAATAATGTCTTACATGCTGCTGAGGTCAAATCTTTCACACAAACTCCCGCACAAGGGTGCAGTGTTGAATGTTTATTAACCTTTGCATATTGTTTCTGTACAGAATGTAATTTCATTTATTGTTTTCTAATAAACTTCTTGGCTAGCAATAAGTCTTTTTTTGCTTTCCTTTTATCTCTGTGGCTCCTCTTCCATTTCTCTCCATTTACTAAGTCTGTGGCTTCTACTGCACTGCTCCTCATAGGCCACAGTGGCATCAAAGTGAAGGCGCTTCAAGTTGTTTAAATCTATTTTTGTAGAGAAGACAGAAATATGACCACTCAGACATACGTCACCCTGTTCATTCATTTTTGTTACCATGTTCTCATTCTCTGCAAGGTGCTATCCAAGTTGCTATAAAGACCAAGTAAGTGGTGTCACACGGGGAATGAATTAGCAGGCAATGTGTGTACAGGGCATACAAACACAGCTAATCAGTGTGTGTGCTTTGGTATGCAGCTCAGTGCATTTCCCCAGCTTCTACTAAGAACAACAGGTGGAATACAAAACTAGAGAAGTGCTGTAAATGTCCAGCTTTGCATGGGGTAATTAAAAGACAGATTTCAGGCCACATACTTAATGTGGTGTGTGCTTTTTCATTAACAAGAAACTTACAGCGAGTATGAAAGAGTTTTCCATGTCTAAGAGGTTTATTCATAATGCAATTTCTGTATTTTCTCCCTGCATGTATTATGTTGAAAGGCATAAATTGCTGCATAAGAAAAGGAGCTTATGCAGCTATGCTACATATCAGATATTACACCTAGCTCTGTATACAAAAGAGTTCAAGATATAGACTGACTGCCAGAAATATCTAACTAACTCAGAGGGCAAGAAAATGAATGAATAACAGGCTCAGAGGCTTGCCAAAATGCATTTTTAGGGGACGACATCATATCATGGTAGTGAGTGGCTAGATTATTTTGTTCACTTAGGACAACAGCAGAACATGCACAAAAATGTAATCTACTTGGGCAAAATCAGAGAAAACCAGGTACATCAAAGTAGAGTACAAGAAAATAGTTGTCAAAAATCTTTTTTTCATTTGGCTTGTACTTTATGTTGAACATGTCATGACCTTCATGGTGAGATTTGGAGTAAGACACTAAAACAAATAGTTATGTTGTTGTCTGTCTTTTCAAAAATAGCAGGCAGGGTAGGAAAAGCAATAATGTGGTTTTTTTTGAAAATAAAAACAATTGAGGTTAGTAGTATTGTCATAATAGAAATGGTAGTTGATGAAAAGAAAAAGTTTTTGTTAGCTCAAAGAGGACCATATGGTGAAAGCTAAATCACTTTGCTTTATAAAGTAGAAAAGAGAAGTCACTGGAGATGATAAAAAAGAGACAGAGAAGCTTGTACAGTGCAATTTCCTGATTCTTGAGAATGTCTAAAAAGTATACATTTTTGTGGAAAGATGTGTCAGAACGTGTGGGAGGATGTGACAATAAATGAGATACAGAGAGATGATGACTGGTTTTTAGAATGCCTCTAATTCTCTCTAATTTAGAGAAGGAAGGTTGAGATTCCGGTCATTTGAGAAACATCTACTACTACTGAGAGAAAAGTTTTGAAATTAAGAAAATAATGTAGTACCAAATATCTTGAGAAGAGGTGAAGAAAATAGCTGCCTAGGAAGCTAAGGACAAAAGATTTAGAAATCCTCTCCTGAGTACCTCTTCAGAGAGGCTTTCTAGCTATCCAACATGCTTTTCCTTGATCAAATTACTTCTGCCATGCTCAACATTAATTCAGTCTGTATCTCAGGCATCATAGTGATAAATATTCCAATCCATTGTTCTGCATATAGGTCATATAAC